ATTTTAAATAAAAAATAATATTTTTTAATAAATATATTACACAATATATTGAACCAATATCAACTGCATTCTATTATGCATAATATTATGCATCAAACATTGTGTGTGTATAATCTTCAATAAAAATATATATTTAAACTTTTAATTGTTGAAATATCTTATAAACAGTAAAATAATTAATTATAAGTAATAAAAATAAAAATCTGACAATTCCACCCACCCCCACAACCCCCAATGGGGCTATATGCACCAGCCCTGTCACTGTTAAAAATTTAACATGGGTAGGCGCTCACTAGTGATGCCAAGATGGTCGCTTTTCCTTATTAGGCGAAGAAGAATCACCAACTACTCCCCACTTCTTGGATCAAAATTCAATGGTGCGGCCAAATTAAACAATCATCAGTAATCTCACAGGATAAGCTTAGAATAACATGGTCTGGAAGCCAAGAAATAATTCAAATAAGAAATTAAAATAGCTTTAAATTAGCCCAAACAAATGGGCATTTGTCCACGGAACCTCCAAAACAAAAGGCTATGATCAGCTGGAGAAAATAGAAGACAATGCTATGTTAACAACTCTTCATGTATTGGTCCTCTCATCCAATATCCATCAATTCGCATCTTTTATAAATCAATTAAGTCTATGTCTCCCCAGGATCATGTTTACTCTCTAATGATGCTTTCAAGGCTAAAAACAAAATCTTTCTTGAATACTTTATATATTTATTTATATTATTTATAAAAAATAAAAAAATAAAAAAAATTTAGTAATAAAGTGAATAATTAAAATTAATAGATAATTATAAAATAAAAATAAAATAAATAATATTTTTTTCACTCAAAATTAAAGAAATACAATTAATTTAGAACAATTTTTGAGTTAAAAAACGATAGGAAGAGGAAATAGCATCTTAACCTGCTTTTGGTTAGTTTTGACTGTGTCATGGAGAACTCCTTTTCATCAGCGCTGAAGGATCTCACATCATCTTTACTGCTTGTTTCGGGGTTTTAACTTATGCCATTGTTATCATATCCTCTTCACACTACAACATTTAACTAGAATTAGGAATGCATTAGGTATGCTAAAAAGGGCATTTTGAACTAAGCTTAATTGAAGGGGAAAAAAAAAAATCAAAGCTTAATTAATTCCATGTCTACATGTAGTCTTGACATGGTGCTTGTTGTTCTGTTAACATTCTTCTCCAAGTCCGTATCATATGATTGTTGTGTTTACTTTAAGGTGATTCATGTTTTTACAAAAAGTAAATCAACCATTGCAATAGTGATGTATATAATATGTCGCCCCCAAGATGTTATAGTTTTATAATAATATTTTATGAATCTATACTACCCATAGAGTCATTTAATTCAAAACACCTTTCTTTATCCAAGAGTATTTAGAAGATAAAGTAAGGTAAGAAAAATAGAATAATGTGAAGGAACTTCACCATTGTTGAGCAAAATGATATGTTTTATTTATAGGATTCATGGTTATGTAACTTCCATTTGTAGATTAATAATAGAAATAAATTGGGTAATTATTATGTAATAATGTGCTTTTAAATAAAACAATCAACTTATAATAGCTAGTTTGATCAAATCTTTAATTTGACGATAAATTCAACTTATAAAATATATTGTTTTATTTTTTATTAAAATATTTAAATTCCAACAATATTAACTAGAACGATCTGATTATGCTCTTTGGAAATGCCATGAAAATACTTGCAGTAATTCGTTGTTTTACTTAACTAGTTTTTTATTGCCTACATACACAGGAAGTACGAAATGTGATTTAAATGCAATTACTATATAATAACGTGCCCTTAAGTAAAATAATTAACTTATAACGATTAGTTTGATTAAATTCTTAATTTGACAATAAATTCAACTTATAAAATATATTGTTTTATATTTTATTAAAATATTTAAATTCCAACAATACTAATTAGAACGATCTGATTATGCTCTTTAGAAATGCCATGAAAATGCTTGCAGTAATTCGTTATTTTACTTAATTAGTTTTTTATTGCCTACATACACAGGAAGTACTAAATGTGATTTAAATGCAAATAATTTCAACCAATTAAGCCCGTCATTTTTAAAAGTGAAACCTTACCTAGAACTTGTTAAAAAAAGACGAAGTGTAGGACTTGTGGGTGGGTGTTTATAAAACTAATCGAATCAAATATCTAAATATTCATGTTATTCCACTACACACGCAAGAATGAAGTTAATTTGTGTTATTGGGAAGATTTTTTTCAGTCTGGGGCAAGTGCGTTAGTGCTGATGAAGTTAATTGATTTGTAAAACCCTATGTTAAGTCCTTTAATTGACTTCGTCTCAATTAAAATTTTGAATTTTTTTAAAGTAGATAAGCCCTTGACTTGAATATAACGATCTGTGTAATTTTGCCCTTTTCTTAAGGCTAGAGTGCAAAGTTGCAGACAAAGAAAAATATAAATGAGCACAAAATTGCACAGATTTGCAGTGTTCAGTGGCTTATCTGCTTTAAAAAAAAATAAAAAATTAAGAACTCGATCAAGAATATGAGATTAGTTTAGGGGATTAATGTGGGATTTTGCTTAATTAATTTGCATGTTGTTGTTTTTTCTTTTTAACAATTTTACATGAGACAGGATCAAATTCGCCTAAGGAGAGGAGATACACTTATTCAATGTGGTTAATACCACTAAGCTCAAAGGACCAAGTTCACATGTTGTTTGGATTGGATACGGATCCTATAACGAATCAAACAGCGGCGGCAATGGATATTCTCCAAGTATATATGTGATAAAGACATTAGTAACATTATACAAGTACACTGTAATTAATAATTATGCATCTCCATCCATCTTCATTAGTTTTCACATTTGATACTCAAGTTCATTGTATTGGCGCTCATCGTTCGAGAAAGTTGGGAAGGAAAGATGATTTTTTTTTTTTTTTTAACATAAGATGATAAAGATTAGACTCTATGTTCTAGAAAACGAGATATTAATATGTTTGTTGATTTACAAAATGATTGGATACGCAGAGACCTTAATTGATTTGATTTGAATGTTTGCATGATTGAAAGGAAAAACAAGCTTAACCTTTAAAATAATTTTTACTAGTGAATAAGTTTTGAAAAAATTTGCGTGGTAAATAAGTTCTCAAATTGAAATTTATAGCAAATTTGTCTAAGATGAAGAGGGTCAAATGCGCAATCACGTTGTGCAAGGCGAAAAAATTATAAATCACAAATAATAGAAGCCAAAGCACTAGTTATGTAAGTTCTACTTGGATTAACTATTAAAAAGAATTACTATTTGTTTGTCATTAGTTCTTATCAACGGAATAAGAATTTTTCTGTAGATGCCGTAAGGTTTTGATGAAATTATATGTTTTAGTTGAGTTTAAAAAAAGAATTACTATTTATTATTTTCTCTAATTAAATGAAAAGAATATTTTAATTATAAACAATAACAATAACTAATTAATTATAATTTAATGAATATTGAATGTCAATTATCAACTACAATTAAATAATTAATTCAAGTAGAGCTATATATAGTTTATGGAGTAGACCTTTTACTATTAATCTCTTGAATTTAACATTTGTATCAATATATAAATTTTTTTATTAATATTTGATATGAATTCATGTTTTAAATAGCTCCTTCACAAAAGCTTTACTCAAACAACATTTTTACAGAGGTTGTAGTTAAATCAAACATACTCTAAATACACAAATTCAAAATTAATATTTGTAACTAAGGGATATAAAATTGTAAAAAAGGTAAGGTGTGATTTCCCTGTCGAACTTTGTTAGTTTTTGTTATAATTAGTTGTTTAATTATACTTTTAAACTACTACAGACATTGAGATGAAGTCCAACCTTGTCACGTGGTTGGTGTGGTCTTAAACCACAAAAGGGTGGGGAAATTATATTCCTAGTTTACGTATTCAATCTCGTCATTATTAAGGAAGGCATATATATTACAATTATTCCCAAAGGCAACCTAATTAAATTACGAAGACTTCCAATTTTCAATTAATTAAGCATCAAACACGGATAATAAGCAAAATTAAGATTTCATTTGACAACGTTACCTACAGTATTTTTTGCACATACTTACAATAATTTTCATAACTTATACATTATGCATTTAGTAAATTATCCATCTTTATTTTTTCTTATAGAATTACAAAATCTATCTTATCCAAAATTAATAAAATTCTTAAATAATTTAATAGAATTTCCAAATCTGTTTTGTACATTATATATTCAGTTATTAATTAATTTAATTTTAAATAATAATATATCTAATTAAGTAATTTTATAATAAATAACTTTTTTGAAATATAATTACTAAATATTAAAATTTTTTTTGTGACAATATAATACAGCATTTCTAACAATTACAGCTATAAAGCAGCACAGGACAGCATTCTCAAACTAAACCAAAACCAACCCAAGTTTCAAAATGTTTGGTTCATTACCGAATTAAGCTACTGCCGGCGGTTTCATAAACCTTGCCCATACAGTGTCGCAACATTCATAAGGCAAAACATGCAAATTACCCCTTTAACTTCTCATATGGTGGCAAATCACCCCCTCAACTAGATTCACACGCAAACTAACCCTCAAACTCATTTTCGGTGGCAAAAAGGCCCTTCTATACATTATTCCATTAAAATTAGCGTTGGCCTCATTAAGAGGGCCCCGCTTGACAATTCACTCACTCCACCTCATCAAATTTAGATTAAAAAAACAATAATCAATGAAAATTTTAAATTAAGCTTCATAATCCTTCGAATTTACCAAACATGCGCCCAATCCCTCACCAAGCATCTTCTGCAAATTCTTATTCCAATGATAGAACATGGGGCCAATAGCAAGAGTGAAACC